TCCTTCATATTTGATGGAGAGTTTTGCTTTGTATATGATCCTTGGCTTTCAGCTATTTTCTCTCAACTATCTGTATAGGTCATCCTACTGTCTTCTAGTTCACCTGGTGTCTGCTGAAAAATCAGAATGTAATATCATTATTTCCCCTTTGTAGGTGATTCTTTGCTTTTCTCACACTTCTTTTAGTATTCTATCTTTATATTTTAATTTGAAGAATTTGTCTATGATATGTCTTGATATTTTTCTTTTAGAGTCTAATTTATTTGGTGTTTGCTGTACTTCTTTAATGTGGATTTTCCTGTTCTTCATAATACCTGTGAAGTTTCTTCTAGTATTTCTTCTACAATTTTCTCAGTGACTTCCCTGTCACTCTCATGTTGTAGAATTCCAATCATATGTATGTCCTTCCTTTCGATGTTTTCTCACATGATTCTAATTATTTTCTCCATTTTCTTTATGTATCATCTCTAATTTTACTTCTCCTGTGTTTCCAATAAGGTTCCTATGTTCCAACTCATAGGCTCTCTGTTCCATTTGTTCAATTCTACTTTGTCCCAACAGCATATTTGACATGTCTACCATTTTGGTCCTAATATTCTGGAATGCATTTTCATGTTTTTCTGTTATTTCTAGTACTTTGTTGGCTTTACCCTACCTTCATTCATTGTTGCACATTTTCCTCCCTGACCACCTCCCTCCCCAGTTCACTTTTCTCTTTGAAAAAAAACCACAAAACTTCATTGTTATACAATTCCCCACACCCCAGTCTACTTTACTATGCAGCTCTTATTGTGGACTGTTGTCATACAAATAACACCTACTCATATATTCTTTTAAAGCAGTTCTCTCCCTCATCTGTTTCAATGCTAAATATATTATTTATCCCCTGTTTTCTTAGTTTCTCCCCAACCCTTAGGTCAGTCCAAATTTATACCAGTGGCATTAAGCAGTATTTGTCCTTCTGTGACTGAGATATTTCACTCAGCATAATGTCCTCTAGATTTACCCATTTTGTATAATATTTCATGAGTTCCTTGTTTTTCAATGCTGCATAGTTAGCATTCCATTTTGTGAATATACCAGAGCTTCTCTATTCATCCAACTATTTGGTTTTGTGAACAAAAAAGCAATAAGCATGGGTGTGCATATATCTGCTTGGGTGGCAGTTCTGGTATCTTTAGGATATATTCCCAGTAGTGGAATTGTGGGGTCAAATGGTATCACTATTTCCAACTTTTTAAGAAAGTATCATACTGCCTTCCATAGTGATTGCACCGTTTTACACTCCCATGAAAAGTGAATAAGGGTTCCACACTCTCTACAATCTCGCCAACATTTGTTGTTTGCTGCTCTGTTAAATTTTGCTATTCTTACTGGGTGAGATTATATCTCATAGTTGTTTTGATTTGCATCTCTCCTAGAGCTACGGATTTTGAACATTTCTTTATGCATTTGTTGGCCATCTGAGTGTCTTTGTTGGCGAAGTGTCTGTTCATGTCCTGTGCCCATTTTTCAATTAGGTTGTTTACCTTTATCTTGTGGTGCTCGAGTATTCTATAAATTCTATATATAAGTATCTTATCAGATATGTCATTACCAAATATTCTTTCCCAGTCTGTGGCTTTCCTTTTTACCCTTTTGGAGAAGTTTTTGATGTGCATAGGGATTTGATTCTTAGAAGTTCCCATTCATCCATTTTCTCCTCTTCTGGTTGTAGGTTTTTCAGGATGCTTGGAAGACTATTCATGTTGTGGATTAGGGCTACTATAGTTCTTCCAAGTTTTTGTCTAATGAAGTTTATAGTCCTTGGTTTTAGTCCTAGGTCCTTGATCCACTTTAAGTTGGTTTTTGTGTATGGTGTGAGGTATGGGTCTTGCTACAGTTTTCTGCAGATGGTTTTCCAATTTTGCCAACACTATTTTTTTTAAAAGCTGTTGTTTCCATCAACAAACGAATGGGTAGAGAAGCTGTGGTATATTCGCACAATGGAATACTATGCTGCATTGAAGAACAAGGAACTCATGCAATATTATTCAAAATGGGTGACCCTGGAGGACATTATGCTGAGTGAGGTATCTCAGTCACAAAGGG